GTTATTGCACCAATGTASAACAATATAGACCTCTGGGCCGGGTTGTTCAAAGCCTGATTAGTGTTAATCCAGGGTTRACTCCACAGGTTTTCTAAGAGTTAGCCCAGGATTAGCCCTAATCGGGCTTTGAACAACCCGGCCCTGAAACTTTTACGTCATGTGCCGTATTCGCAACGCATAAGATATGTTTGGCAAAACATGGCGGATTTCTTTTGTTTTCTCTAGAAACTGATCTCATAATGCATTGCAAATCACGTAGTTGGCGTAAAAAGATCAGAACTGTATTAACGTGAAGYATTCAAGTGGTTTCCATAAATACGTGAAAATAGATAAACACATTTTAGAGCAGTCTGTAATAGCCTTCTTCACGGTTCCCTGCGCCATCTTGAAGGGTAGCCGTGCCTTTGCATCGCAAGCAAGACGACCGTTGAACATGCAATGGTAGAAACCTTCTTTCACACCAACAGACAATTATTCACAGGTATCTATCATCGCACGCTCAACGGTTGTCTCACTTCGATGTARATGCACGGCTACCTTTCAACATGGCGCAGGGAACCGTGAAGCAGACTACTGCATTGTCGTTTTGTTGGTGTCGTTTTGACTATTACACTTTAAGTATTTTCTTTTRTCTCAGGGGTTAAATGTTTTCACTATAAGGGATTGTAATGCTCAATTGAATTAAAATGAATRCAATTTATAAACTGGAGTTTGCCGAGGGAGATCAATATGGCCGAAAAACGCYCAAATAAGTGCTCTAAAGGTGCAAGATTGTTTTCGATCTGATTCTACTTTTATAAATAAACTAAATAAACTAAACTAACAWTTGTTTGTTTTCCTTGCCTTGTCGTTGTTGTGTTGCTGTCGTTGTTGTTTATGTCTTTAGTTGAAAACCATTGTTTTAATGAATCGATTTTTGGCGAATACTAATACTGTTTATTCTCAATGACACTCTTACAATCACCTGCCTTTTTTATTTGCCTTCAAGTCGGCCTCCCCTGTGGCCTTMGCCTCATCATCATCATTTTCATCATCTTCTTCTTCTTCTTCCAAGTTAGCCCCGTCTCTTTCACCATCAGCCTCATCATCATCATTCAACAATAATTCCTTTTAAACATGCGCTTTTCATTTAATGCCTCTGCTAAACTATTTCACGCTTTCAAAAAAGAAAAGACATGTTCCAAATCAATTTAAATTGATTACACAAGCTGTAGTTTGCACTCGTCTATACTTGAACCTTTGGCGTTAWCAACAGGGAACCCAACGAGGAATCCTAACAACAAACTAGGATTATTGAAATGATTTAAAGATAGAAKCTGGCAATTTAATTTAAACGTGAGCTAACATAGCCTAACATCCAGACAGTAAGTGCTTTCAAGTTGTTGTTTTTTTTATCAAAACGGCTAGACAAATGCTGTACAGTTACAGGAAACATACTGACTCGTGTCGTTAAACATGACATGCCTCACTGCAATTATAAGGGACAAAAGACATCTTCCACTACATTGCACAGTCCTATAACTAATAATTAATCCCTAAGTTYCGTTTGGCATTCAGAAATCTGTTATCTTTTGAAAGTTGACAGCCATGCCTTTCAGAAAAGAGATTAGGCTAATGGAGAAAAGGCTGAGAGAGGTRCAASAAGAGAGGAGATGTCTAAAGACTATGGAATTATTCGTGTTGGATAACTCTCTTCGGGAAAGCACAGTCGGCCAGCTTCGTGGACACACTATCGACAACAAATGGAAAATCTACAACGAGGTAATAASGTGCCTTTAGGCTGTTAACGATGCAAAAAAWGAAGGAAAAAAACACACACTAAAACTAGGTCATAAAGTGATTGCTTTTTTATTGCATTATTTATTCTAATAAGTACAAAGTTGTGTATTCATGCGAATTATAAACTTTTGCAGCTAATAAATAATACAGCAAAGAATACATCATTTACAAAGCATAATTGCTGCCTTGCACTGAAGTAAATATACTAAATTATTCTTTCACAAACGTCGTTGGCGGCTGAAAGAATTTCAGGACTTGGAAAAGCGTCCTTTGTACAACCTCGGAAAATTATTCACSCGAGAATATTTGGCAATTTGATTAATCACGCAACAAAAATCTTATGAATTGCCTTCATTTCTTCCATAAAGTTACTTGGCAATGCATTTTTTAGAATCGCGCAAATACTAGCATCATTTTCATACAAAAATCAACATTAACATAGTTTCCATTTTTGCATACGAAAATTATAAATATTGACAGTTATCTCAATATGCACACTTGAATAACACTGCTGTTCGGCAGTCACCCGTATCAAATCAAAATGAAGTTAATAAGCTTTAGGTTTTCAGCTGTAATTGCCCTATTTCATTATGACGTCAGAGTACGTTTACATCGGGAAACGATGCTCAAACACTTTGGAAATTTGAAACCATATAAACACCCTTTTAATCCCGAAGTATCATGTTCTCCGCACTTGACGTCAAATTTATTCTTTTGAAATTTTTACATTACAAAAGGAATTCAAAAGAATAAATTTGACGTCAAATGCGGAGAACACAATACCTCGGGACTTATTAAAAGGGTGTATAGTCTACTATAGTAGAACTTYAATGAATCGTGTTTTGATATAATATCATGGATAAATGATTACTCATGTATATTTTATTTGATATGTGCACTCTAGCAACCATAATCCTCAGCGTTAAAAATAACTAGAATGATCTAGGACAATTGTTCTCTCGCTGCTTGAGGTGCTGTTTGCAATTGCCCTAGTTCATTATGACGTCACATCAAAACATTCTATTGTTTTAACGCTAAGGATTATGGTCAGCAGAAGGGATCAGAGTGACTGCATATCAAATCAAATGTACATGAACAATCATTTATACATGATATATATCAAAACGCGATTCATTGAGGTTCTACTTTAGTAGACAAATATAAATGGGTCCAAGTTTCTACTGTTTTCGAGCATCGTTTTCCGATGTAAACATACTATGACGTCATAATGAAATAGGGCAATTGATGGTCAAAATCTGCAACTTTTATCACAGTCATGCGATGTAGCCTGACGCTGCGAGGTATGGCGCATAGTAGAATCTACATATAGGCAATCACATTTATATCAATATAAAACTAGAGGTATAGAATGAAAAGTGAAATTGTTTTTCACGCTAATATTTATAGCAGTAAATATGTATTAGTTTTCATCCTCTTTTTAATTCAAAGTACAATATCCTTGTAGATCAAGAAAGTTGGTTTCCAACACATCATCGTGACGTCATTCTCCCACATGACTCGTCTCGGTGACACTTTCATCAAACAACTCAAAGAGAAGGGAGAAGACTTTGACAAGTTCTACGCGTTTAGCGAGTTATTGGAAAAGATTGGCAAGAACCGAGTGCCTGACTCCAAGACCATCCCAGTGGGGCTGCGTAAGTGCGCAGAACTCGGAATTCGTCACTGCATCATCGAAGCCGACCTCGTCTACAACGGTATCGATTATGAGGTTTTTACAGATGACATCATGTGTCAGCTAATGTCGGAGCGTATGAAGTGGGCACGCGAGAAT